TTTTTTGGGGCACATCTTACACTGTAACCTACAACTTTAAATAATGATCTGTTCAAACAGATTACCAATGAATGTGGAAAACCATCCTTCTGTCTTTTTAAGTCAGATTTGGGTGGACAGTCAAGGATGGATAAAGATCAAGTTGTACTTTATGCCGAAGTTCAAGAGAAAGAACCACTTTAATTAAAGATTTTGTCAAGGAGAGGAAAACATGACAAATTGTCTCTACATTATCCTAGGAAAGTGCCCAGAGAGGTGTATTCAAGACTAATTTCCCTTCCCATCTCCACTATTTAGCTAGTGCAATGCATATGGGTTGCTACAGAAATGCAGCAGTTGGTAGGTATGTTAGGAGAGGGGGCAGGGGAGGAAAGTGCCTGTCCTGGGCTCTCCAGAGCAGCCACATGAAATCTCGATGATGGGTAGCTGGCAGCACCTCTGTTTGCAGAGGCAACACATATTTTAGGTGGCAGAGAAGCCTTGCTGGGGTTCTGCCCTCTGACTTCTGCCCCAGCATGCAACCACACCTTCCGCAGTACCAGCAGTGGGGCTGCTTTGCTCCTTCCCTGGCATCCCCATCTGTCGTAATAGCCTAGGTGTATCCAAAGTCCTGCTGTGCCTGAGGAAAGGCGCTTCCGATAGCACCTACAGCAGCCAGAACCCACTTCACCTCCACTACTACGAACGAATAAACTACCAGTATGAACCAGGAAGCTGCTATAGCTCCTCTGCCCCCGGATTCCTGTTCTGCTGTCGCCAGGCACATGCTGAACCCAGGAGGCACCAGGGACCGTTTAGGACAAGCAGGACAGTGTCTATTAAACTAAGGCACTTAATTTAATGGTTTGGTCAGTACTGGAAAGTAGGTCAACTGGGCCACTAACTGAGAGCATCTTCTGATACCTAAATGGAAATTTAGATTTCTTCAAACAGAATCCCATGCTGAAGTGTGTGCTGTGTGAATACTTGGGTCAAAACCTCACAGCTGGGCTCATTGCCACGGTACAATGACCTTATTATTGGACTTCACTTCCTGCCTTCGTGGTGGTTTGAATATATCCATCGTATTTCACAGTCTGGGTGGGCCTGAAATATGTACTCAGTCTCGTCATCTCAGCTGAGAAATGTTAACTCTTCAGGCTCCTCCTTATTTTCAGTGGTGTGCACAGACTTGGGGGTCTTCCTCCCTTTCCGGACCTTCCTCATTGCTCCAAACCCCTTTTGTTTGATGACACTTCAGAGTGATTTGTGAACTGGAGCTTCTAAAACATTTTATGGAATTTTCTTTATTAATTATTAAAAAACAAAGTGTAAGTTCACTCAGAGCTTTGCTTTACTCTTTTCTAAGAGCCTGATTCTTCTATTTATAACAGGTAGGCAGCTCATATGCAATAAAGTCAAAATATGGCTAAAGTGGTTATGAAAACATAACTAATAACAGGGACTTGTTCTTCCTTGCAAGTGCCTCGGTCCCATAAATGCTCCCCCAAGCCTGTGCTTACCCATGCTGCCCGGATGCCTACGCTTCATAAAACCTGGTGCAATGAAAACTGAATTGACTGCTTTCAAGGGTTGTTCTGAGAGCTTCGTTATTTAATTTTTATTTCAGTCTGGGCTCTGTTGCTTATGCAGGAAGTTTCACTTGACTTTTAGTACCTTAAAAATATTGTAATAACACTGCTCAGGTTTTGCAGTTCTGAGTAGTGACTTTATGTGCACAAAGAGACATTCACCACTCTGCAGAGCTCACATATTACTTAAATCTTACAAGATTAATATAGATTTACATGTTGCATAGAATATTCTGGCCTTCTCCCACCAAGGACTTCTAACTCTGGGAGAAACACCCCTCCACAAGGATATATCCTGAAATTGGTAATACAGACTAAAGAAGACAAAGGTCCTTTCCCTTAATCTCTATATATTATATGAAGACCAGCTAGCAAGTACAGATACACTGGCTTTCTTGGGAAGGGGGATGAAGAGTAGAAAAGTGTTGCCATTTTCAGCCCCAGTGCATAGTCTGCCTGCGTTTCATTCTGCAATACAGATCTCCACTGGTGAATGCAACAGTTGTAATTTTATTCTCCAGGAAGATGAATACAGAAATGGTAATGGCCAAGAAAGAGTCTACATATGAATCAGAAAGAGATTAATGCAACTGTAAGACAGTTAGATCCTGTTTCTGTTATCTTGCTGAGAAACTTCCACTTGTAGATTGGTAAGTGAAATTTAGTACTGTCCTCAGGAGTTATTTTTTAAAAATCCAAGCATAAATGAAGAGCTATGGGTGAGGGGATCATCTGTCCACGTGACTGAAGTGGCCAAAATGTTTTCATCATTTTTGAAAATTGCCTTCCTTCAATGACTGTCCAGTGACTGCTTCAACTTCTCCTTAAAGAAAGTATTTGAGAGAGTACAGAGAATGGGGTTCAATGCACTGTGTATTGGCAGAACAAATATCACTATCCAGGAAAGAACAGTGTCTAGGGAAAAAGGTAAGATAACTCGTGTGCTCAGTTGTAGGAATGCTAAAGAAGCAAATGTCCCTTTCTGTCATTTTTATTCAATGTCTTTTATTTTACTTTATGTCACGTCACTTAATATAATTTTTTGTGGAATGCTACTATAGTATTATTTTTACAAGAAAGGGGTTTTATTTCAACATTGCTCATTGTGGTTTTCATTGAATTCACCTTGGGTTTTCATGAGAAGGGGGAAAAAAAGAACTTTTCACTAGGTAGTGTATTTCTCTCTATCTACTGGAATTAATAAATACACTAAACATGAGCTGAAGTCCGTCTTTTTTTAAGATAGTATTTAATCCAAATCCCATACCTATTTTTTACATGGCAGTTTTCATTGGTACGTTTCAAAATGCCTTAGAAAAGCTATCATTATTGTCATTTTACAGAGGGAAACCTGGAGTACAGAGGGGTGAAGTGACTTGTGCGAAAGGCCGTGAGCTGGGCTGTGACTTGTGCAAAAGGCCATAGAGCCTTTCTATCATGAACCCCATGCCAGCCACAGTCATACACCTTCTGAGCACCCTCATGATGGCCGTGTTTTATTTTTAACAATCTACATGTAATCACGTTTCTCCTGGTTGCGCAACTGGAATTCAGTGCTCCCAATGAGGCTAAATATGTTTTATGCTAAAACCATTGACAGTTTACTATGTTTCTTTAATGCCTTTCATATTACAGAGAATTATTTACCCAGTTTTCTGCTAACATGAGGTATCATTTTTTTAGAATTATAATGGGAAAGCAGAATGCCTTTATTACTGTGTTATCTGTTAGCAGCTGCAAGGTTAGCAGTCTGCAGATAACCAGGGCAGTGACGGACAACTGTGACATTGTACAGCTCCTCCATGGGCTGGCAGGGGAGAGTCTATGCTGCCCTGCCTGTAACCTCCTCAGGAACCCTTGGAAATCATCGCCTGCACTTATAACTGTGATGTCTGGGTTGCTTAAAGACTCTCCTGTTGTAGTTTTTTTTCCCCGATGATCAAGCTAATGGATTTATCCATACGTATTACCATGGGATTTTGCAGCTGCAGCAGAGGAGAACCTCTTCACTGGGTAGCCCGTTCTGGTTCTCACCTACATACATGGATTGAAGATTGTATGTGTGTACTTTAAAGCTCAGTTTCTGAATGCAGAAGTCGTCAAATATTTTGGGCAATAGTTACTCTTCACCAGTGGTTAATTAGAAGTCCTCTGGCAGTATTGTTTGGTTTAAATTGAATTTTTAACGAGAGGAATGACACACACACTGCGTTACCTGGAATTTCCACCTGGAATAAGGAGAGGACTTCACTGGCAAAGACAGGAATCCAGCAGATGGCATCAGTGAATACTACTAAAAATAATATTGATTTGCAACAGCAGTACCCTTGCGTATATGACTCCTTATCTCTGATGTCTGAAAGGCAGTTTTTTGAACAACAAAACATGCTGACCTGTGAAAACACAATGATGATGGAGACCAGCAGGGTCACATCTGTGGAGAAACAAGTTTTGAAACAAATGGCATTGAAATGGTCTTTCTTTTCTTCCCTTGCTCCCAACCACTTCTCTGTTTCATTCTCTTCCATTATTTTTTTGTAATTTTTACATTAATGTATCTGTAGTACATAGATACCAATTTTATCTTAGAAACAGCTCCTCAGTATTCTCTAGTGTCACACAGCCTGCTCACATATCACGTTCCCATCTGTTACACAGCGAGATGTGAATAAGTTGTAAGAAGTTACTATAGAAACACAGTTAATACACAGTATGGGTGAGCTCGTGATTCCACAGAGATCTGGTCTCCTGACTAGAAATGCTGCAGTAAATTTGAAGCAGAAACTACCTGCAGGACTCTCATGTAGTACAGAAAGAACAACGTATTCCTCAGCAAAGTGAGAAACCAATCTGAGGCATATGTTCATTTCAGACTGGATTCCTCAGTCCTGTATAAATATCCATTCCAAATTACTGGTGGAAGAACACATGCAGAGCAAGCTGTGCAACTTGGATTTTAATCACACCGCACTGTGTTGAAGCGCGAGGCTTTTAACAGTTCATTAGATGGCAACTCCATGGACTGGAGTACTATGATAAGTAGCTGAGAGCCATTGAAGAAGCCATTTTTGTCAAGATCTCAGCAGCTGTATTGGGTTTATGTGGCAAGGTTTCTGTAGCGGCCGGGCTACAGGGGTAGCTACTGTGAGAAGCTGCTAGAAGCTTCCCCTATGTCCAACAGAGCCAATGACAGCTGGCTCCAAGACAGACTCGCCACTGGCCGAGACCGAGCCCATCAGTGGTGGTGGTAGAGCCTCTGTGAAAATGTGTTTAAGAAGGGGAAAAATACCTGTGCAACAGCAACTGCAGCTGAAGAAAGGAGTGAGAATATGTGAGAGCAACAACTCTGGAGACACCAAGGTCAGTGAAGAAGGAGGGGGAGGAGGTGCTCCAGGTGCCGGAGCAGAGAATCCCCTGCACCCCGTGGTAATGACCATGGTGAGGCAGGCTGTCCCCCTGCAGCCCATGGGTGATGGAGCAGATACCCACCTGCATCCCATGGAGGACTCCACACCAGAGCAGGTGGATGCCTGAAGGAGGCTGTGAACCCGTGGGAAGCCCACACTGGAGCAGGCTCCTGGCAGGACTGTGGACCCATGGAGGGAGGAGCCCACGTTGGAGCAGGTTTGCTGGCAGGACTCGTGACCCTGTGGAGGACCCATGTTGGAGCAGTCTATTCCCGTGGGACTGCAGACTGCACCCTGTGGAAAGGACCCACGCTGGAGCAATTTCTTAATGAACTCCAGCCTGTGGGACTCACACTGGAGAAGTCATGGAGGACTGTTTCCTGTGAGAGGGACCCTGCACCTGAGCATGGGGAGAGTGTGAGAAGCCCGTCCCCTGAGGAGGAAGAAGCAGCAGAAACAATGTGTGATGAACAGACTGTAACTCCCATTCCCTGTCCCCCTGTGCCCCTGGTGGGGAAGAAGTAGAGAAATCCTGGGCTATATCAAAAGCAGTGTGGCCAGCAGGTCAAGGGAAGGGATTCTCCCCATCTATTCTGCTCTGGTGAGACCCTCCCTGCAGTACTGTGTTCAGCTGCGAGACCCCCATCATAAGAAAAAGACAGCATGTGAGCAGGTCCAGAGGAGGGCCAAGAAGATGATCAGGGGGCTAGAGCACATCTCCTATGAGGACAGGCTGAGAGGGTTGGGGTTGTTCAACCTGGAGAAGAGAAGGCTCTGGAGAGCCCTTATAACGGCCTTCCAGTACCTAAAGGGGGCTTATAAGAAAGATGGGGAGGGACTTTTTAATAGGGCTGTTGTGACAGGACAAGGCATAATGGTTTTAAACTGAAAGAGGGTAGATTCAGACTAGATATAAGGAAGAAGTTTCTTACAATGAGGGTGGTGAAACACTGGCACAGGCTGCCCAGAGAAGTGGCATGTGCCCCATACCTGGAAACATTCAAGGCCAGGTTGGATGGGGCTTTGAGCAACCTGATCTAGTTAAAGGTTTCCCTGCTTACTGCAAGGGGATTGGAGTAGATGACCTTTAAAGGTCCCTTCCAACCCAAACTGTTCTGTGATTCTATGATTCTATGACAAATGTGCAGCCAGCACACAGCACATGAGGCCCTGGTCCTTTTGTGGGCCTTTGGGAAGTATTACAACTTGAACATTAGTAACGTAGTGAAAAGTGCACCTATCACCTACAGTGAATGTTCTGTAGACTGACAGTCAGTTTTCCCAGTAAAATAATATTAATCAGTAATTATAGTAAAAATTAAACTTCCTAAGAAATATATCAAGGGAATAATGTTGCCTCCCGTTTCTTCTATTCAATGGGAAACAAACTCCATTTTCCCTCTTATAATTACCCCAAAATTCCTCACCCTAGAATGCGATTGTTGCTGTGGTAAATCCAGCAATCCATACAGATAGAAAAATCACTACTGTCTGTTGCTTTCCAGGACAGATATTACTGAAGGGAAAGACAATCACTAAATACTTTCCCAAGGTCAGATACGTCAACAACAGGACTGATCCCTCTGTAGATGGCATGGCAGTGGACCCTGTGATATAGCACGGTAAAATTTGTATCCACAGCACAGAATAATTTTTGTACTGTCCACAGTATTTAACATCAAAAACTCCAATGAAGAACGAATAGACCCCCATTAGACAATCAGCACCTATTTAAGAAATAGGATTTAGAGTTTACTGAAAAATAGCAATGAAATGCTTTATGTATAGTATATGTACATGTTCAGCCAAACCCTGGCTGACATTCAAAAACAATTTAACCCTGTGTTCGTGGCATCAGAATTCATGTGCTGTGGGCCTATGAGACCCCTGGTCATAAACGGGAGAGTCGAAGCTGGTGTCAGGTTCTAAGAGTGGAAGTGTTGCCAAATAGGGCTCCCATGAGTATGCAATGACCCAGCGTCAATTTCCCTGGCTGTGGCCAACACGGTGGTTGTTGCAAACAGCAGAATACTGAATCGCTGCAATATTTGGCACACAAGCAGCCATCCCTGGAGAGAAGCTGCAGCAATGTCTGGGCACTGCTCAGGGTACGGATGGTTCAATGGTGGAGTTTCAGCCAGGAGCAAGCTGAAAGAATCTCAGGCAGAGTGTGTGTGACCTGGCAGGTCTATCGCACTGTATAGTATATACATGGCACTATATAATAAATAGACAGAAGATCTCTGATATCTTGCCTGGGATTCATCTCTTCTAATTTTACACATCCACAATATGTATCTGTTAACAAGATGAATTCATTTTACCTGACTTCAGCCATTTACAAAGCTGAAGATCTCAGCCAGACGTGCCTGGGCTGTCTTTGCAGTCAATGAAATCAACAGGTGTTTTCAGGACATGATTCATTAGGCCTACTTGGGATGTATTTTTTAGAGTTAGGTAAATTACAATTCATTGACTATAAAGAGAGAGCAAAGTGACTGGTTCATAGACATCTGCGCTGTAAACATCTGAAGTCATGCAAGATAAAATCTTTTCTGTGTGGAGTTAACATGCAGTCAGAAAGCAGAGTTTGTAGGCTTGGCTAACTTGAGCAAAGAGCAAGGAAGTAATAATAGCTCTTGTATGCTTTTAAAGGGTTAATCACTGGAAAACAGTGTCATGCTATTGCACCGTAAGCTTGCAAAGCAGGATTTGGCCACAGCAAGTATGAATTTGGTCCCACATTTCTATTGCCCCGAGGATTCTCAATTTAGGAACAACTGCTGGACAGGATATGGTGCAATCATTTGGAAATACTCACATTTTGAAACACACAATTCAAAAATAACAGAACACTTACCAGTTCCTCTGCCAAAAAAAAGGAGATTAGAATAGAATAGAATAGAATAGAATAGAATAGAATAGAATAGAATAGAATAGAATAGAATAGAATAGAATAGAAATTTCAGTTGGAAGGGACCTACAATGATCATCTAGTCCAACTGCCTGACCACTTCAAATGGTGGTAATTTGATACATCACAGAATAAATTCAGACAACAAGTAGTCTAACACTAGCTAGCTTGTCCGTAATCTTTAATGCTGAATGAATAGTAGTAATTCATAAAGTAAAATGTTAAAGTTTCATAGGTTCTTTCTACACATCTTGACTACCTAAAGTCAAGGAATTGAAGGACCTTGGTTATTTTTTGATACTTTCATTTAGAATATCAGAAAATAGGGCAAAAATAGATAATGCATAATATTTTTAAGTGTTACAAAACTAGTATGTGTCTAGAATGCAAACTAAGATTATTTGAAAATGTATAATGTTATGTATTATATATAATATAATAATGTAGTATACAGTACTATATTAATAAATTAATTTTATTAATGTACGAATGAAATCAATGTATTATGAATACCTTTAATACATACATACAAAACTTTTATAGATGTGGTGTGCGTCTTTCTGATCTCATTCTGGTGACAGGATTTCCAAAACATGTAACGCAAGCTATGACCCACATGAACGCTCTCAGAACATTGTTAGCTAAGAGACCTTCAAATGATGAAATCCCATCTGCTAATGATGTCCATATTTGCATGTGGAGTGCATAGAAGCAATAAGCAAAACTTTTTGAAGCAGCTAAAAGTAAAGAAATGAACATGCAATGCTGCTGGTTAAACACCAGTCAGCGTCACAGTTACATACCAGTTATGCAATTAGGTGCAAGGAGCTGGAAGAGAATAAACTGTAACAAAATAGTTCCTGGTACATATAAGGGGCATGATGTGAGAGGTATTAAATCACGGGAGGATGTACTTAGGAGGTTGGTAGCAGCTCATACCCTTTGGTCCCCAGTAATGATGCTGGTGGTAGTGGCTGCAATCACCTGTGATTTCCTTCAGGTCTTCGTAATATGCAATTAGGGCATTGCCCTTTGTTCATCTATGACTTGAGAGGAATGGTCAGAGCTGGTATATTTTTTTGTTTTCACAAACCTTGTAAGGACTTTGCTTTGCTACTCTTTGTTGTCAGTGTGCAGGTGAATGTTCTTCATAAGCAGATCTTTTACTGTCCTTGGCAGCAGGATTTTGCCTGCCTTAACAGATTGTGGAATGTCTGTTGAATGACTTAAATTTGGGAATGAACATTATCACATCTTAAATGCTTCAATTCCTTGACCATTATTCAAATAACTAGTTCTCTGCTTCAGTGGCAGTGCTGTCATAACGAAGGCTTGTGGGACAGGACATAAGGGCTCTAATATAGCAAAGCCTACAAGAGCAGGGTTGTTTTGAAATGTGTCCTTACATCCCATTGACTTCTACAAGATTTAAAAATATGTTCTGGTATATATAAAAAAATAAAGCATGAAGAATAGATCTGCCAATAAAATTCTATTGTGATATAATTGTGAAATATATGAACGATGATATATCAAATTTTGAAAGTTGATGTAGTCTTATTGATTGTATCCACCATGTGCTGGTAAGTCAGTGAACAGTAGCTGATTTGAGTTTTATTTTTCAAGAAGTAGTAAAGAATGAAGGAAAGAGTATAATATGAACTCTTTAGAAACAAAGTTGGAAAGAACATTGTATGGTTGAAGAAGATGCTTGTGTTCATGACATAGAATAAGCAATATAAATATTTAGGAACAATTCTAGACTGAAAGACCTAAGAAGGAAAAAATAAGCCTGAAGATTTCTCATCAAGAATGACATTTTAATTATGTAGAGAGGCAAGAGACATTTAGTGTATATCCTGGCTGGCATTGAATGTGAAAATGTGACACTCCTAAAGCCCTTTGCCTCAGCTCAGGGATTGTAGTTCAGAGACACCTGGTGTTACTGGCATGTAGCTGTGACAGACAGTGAAGGCAAAAGGCATCCTTTATGATAGCGAATTAAGATGTCTGTACAGCACACATTCTATCTTTTCTGTGAACATACATGGCATTTATTCATGTCCAAAATATAATCACTTTTCTGTTTCTTAACTCAGTTCCCAGTTTTGGTGCACATGGATGAGGTATTCTGCTTCTGCCTGCTAAGCTTAAGGCTACAGTAACTCCCAAGTAAGCAAACAGTTTTATTTATTCCACTTCAGCCAGAGTGTGAAGGGCAGAAGAAGAAGTGATGTGGTATGATCTAGAAATGAGGGAGCAAAATGAGGAGCATGTTTCCTTTCTCTGTTTAAAATAGTGAAATATTTCATCTATTTTTGCAGAAATTGGGTTACCAGTGGAATTAATAAATATGGAAAAGCAACACCCTGGGATGGTTTTGGACATTTTTATATGGACCTCCCACCCCCTTAATTACCCCTTCTTTTATTTTGCATACAAACATGTGGGAGAGGTTCCTCATACGTTGAAACATTCTTCTGTTTATATTTAGAATCTCAATCATTTCCAGGTATCTGTAAAATGTGTAAATACTATGATCTGCAAATAAATTATATGGAATAGGGCTTTCTGTAGTTATCAAATTATTACACAAACAAGCCTTTTCTTAAATCATAGGTCTTAAAGAAACTTTATTATGGAAGAATCCTGACTACATTCAGTAAGAATGATCCTACAACTGTTCATCTCATCGAAGTTTTTACTGGAAGATTTTATTGTAGGGATGTGCATTTAGCCTGAACTCCTTTTGTAGTTATGCCATTCGACAACTGATGCAATATCCATTAAGGAAAGCACAAGAAGTGATTGCACAGGTTTTTGTCTCCTTCCCTTGGTGCTAAGCTGAGCTGCTCACAGCAGTGCGATTTAAGATCTTATTATTATAAACCTTGGCCAGAGGGCCTTCCGACTAACAAAGGAGTCACAGAACTGAAAGCACTAATAAGCCCCAAACAGGCAGAGATTAAAGACAGCTTCTGCCATGAGAATCAGAACAAGAGAGGAAGAAATAAGGCAAGAAGGCAAAACGTATAATTCTCTCAGCTTTTCCTTGGGGAAGCGAGAAATCCCCTCCATTGTTCAAGGTAAGATCGCCCTGCAAGATTTTGAAGAGAAATCCAAAATACTGGGAGGTAGCTGTGGGCCAGCTGAGGAAAGACAAGGGTACTGACAGTCTTTTGGGGTTGAATTACTGGAAGCATCTGGTGTAGACAATACAGACAGACCTCCCTTTGGAAGGACAGACAAACATATAGACAGTCTAGTAGGCTGAGGGAAGCTGAATATTTTGTCATGTTTCTGGAGAAACCATAGGTACTAGCTGAGCAGCAGAAGCTGCAGCAGTGAATGATTCAGTAGTGGCGTGTACACCTAGAAGTACAAATCACTGAAGAGTGTGTGTTTGCAGATGAGGACCTGGGCCTTCCTCCATTAGCCACCCAAAGCACTAAGATTATTTATTTATTTGTTTGTTTTCTTTTCTAATTTTGTAGATTCAGGCGTCTGGGTTGGGTTTTATTTCACCTGACATCAGACCTCCTCACATTAGCTGAGTTTCCTTTAGAGTCAGTGCAGAGAAGCATCTCTTTGGACATGGCTAGGTCAAATGACTCTTGTCCTGCAAGGTTTCTTGTTGTCTGCTGAGAGTAGAGGGAGCTTCACAGAGAATAAATCTTTGGAAAAATAGGCTAAAATATATCAGAAAGTTTAACATTAGAAAATACTGGTTTGAATAACCAGACAACATAAAACACGCATGTTATATCTGCATTGGTAAAATTAAGAGGACCAAGACATGGACGTAAGGAGCTGTCCATACTGCTTCATTGTTTTGTCCCTACTGAGCTAGTTAGGCTAGACAGATTTACTAGCACACATGGAGCCTAGGGACCAAAGATACTTAGAAGGACCAGTCACGATGTGCATGTGATGAGACAAAGGGATGTTTAGGTGCAGGTAGGTTCCTCCCTGCCCCCACAAGAGTGACAGTGGAGCACAGAGCTAAAGGAGAAGGGTATAGTCAAGGGCAGGCGTGGTGTATGTGCAGCAGGTATAGACTGCCTTATCTGAGGCAAGAGGGATGCAGAGCATTGAAAACTGTTCGTCTGGAGTGCCATGGGGCAACCCGCTTTGCTCACGTCGTGTGCCAAGGAGAAAGCACAGGCTGTAGAGGTACAAGGCAGGCAACTGGGGACACCTGTGAGCAGAAGCGTTTTACAAAATTTTTACTTCTGTTCTGCTGTAATACAAACAAGAGCAGGACAACAATGGGTGTACATGACTATCCAAACAGATCCTGAGGAAATACCAATAACAATTAAAATGAACCCTGAAAACAAAATAATGAAGTATAGCCCTTCCTGTATCCGTGACATGGCATGACTCAATGGGACTTGCTGGCTGGGCAGGACATACACTCCATACATCAGGGAAATGTGATATTAAATATTGGTAAAAGGAAAATGTTTGTATAGTATTACATACATACAAGCAAAGCCAGTACTGGCACTGAGAGCCTTAAAAGCGTTCAACTTGATAAAAATCCTAATGGTGATAGAGCCATGAAAGGACACTTTGTGTACTGAATATATTCAGTGAGCATTTCCTGAAGTGTCTGAAAGCAGGGCTTCATTCTGCAGCATCCCAACAGACCTTCAGTCTACAGATTCAGTGTCAAGAGTGCAAATGCTGGAGGATTAGCGAACACGATAAGGCCAGAAACAGTGATAGAACTTCATTATTTTGCACATTTAACTATAACGGAAACAAAAAAGAAGCCATGGGAGTAGGTTATTTGATTAGTTGTGCTCCAAACAGGAGGATAAACTCCTGGCATAATCAGAGCCACCTGTAGCCACCTGACAGAGGCAAAAACACTAACAGAAACCTGCCATATTAAGGGGGTCCATTGCAGTAGGCACTCGGTGCAGGCACTGGCGTACTCGGACTGCAGGGTATCATTTTCACCTCACCTGTTGGGCAATAGCATTTCAAAGGATTTGATACAATATCTGCACAGATGCTGTTTTAGGGAAAGGCGCGTGAAATACTGGAAGAGTGACAGGAACTGAAATCTTGTCAATGATGCTCTACTAACATGAAAAACAAACCCCATATTCTATTCATACAATGCATCTGGCATAACCCGAAGCTGATTCACAGCAATGCCAAGACAGTGTACAAATGATATATTCTGAACATGTTTTAGAAAAGAGAAACATCATAACTGAATCAAAAAGAAAAATAACAAAATTACCAAGTCAGGCGATCTGCTTAGATAAAAGGCACTTGGGTTGTCATATCCCTTTGAAAAGACTTCCATGAAAGAAGAAAAATAACTGATCCCAAGGATTCCAAATACAGTTTAGGAAGAACATATTAATCTGTCAAGATGGGAAAGGAAAGCCTGAATTTGAAAGAATTTGGAAGCCAGAATGGAAGAGGCGAGTAATGACTTACCTGTTTGTGAAGAGCAGCAGAAACAGAGCTGCAGGGAACTTCTGACAGATGTGACAATTTGTGTGTAGTATCTACCCAGGCCTTACAACCAACAGAAACAATGTTATTGCTATGGCTGTGTCAAGATTGCCCAGAGAGGTGGTAGATACCTCGTCCTTGGAAACATTCAAGGTCAGGTTTGATGGGCCTCTGAGAAACCTGATCTGGTGGAAGATGTCACTGCTCACTGCAGGGGGGTTGGACTAGATGGTCTTTAAGGTCCCT